TGCCATTACAGTACCTTCTTCCTTGATCTGGATGCAACACTGCCCTTTCTCAAACCTGCTGTGCTGCTTTTTGCGATATAAACAAATATATCTGCAATGACCCTTCCAAAATATAACATTTGGGAGGTCACATGGAAAGTGGTGAATGCTGAAGACTGATAATGAGTGCTGAGTCAAAAATTTTCCACAAGACATTTTTCTTAGAAACATTCTGAGATTTTCGGGTTTTCCCAATTCTATGAAAAGAGAAGATTTCTTTTGCACTATTATTTCCAATGTTTTCATAATTTCTCCTGACAGCTGCCAAAACAGAGGGAAACGTGGAAGAATCAAAGTGGTAGCTAGGCTGCAATACAGTTGGTTTACTTCAAAAAACCCAAAAACCCTAAGGAAAAAAAATCTATCTGCCTAGCTGGATAGACACAAATTTCACAAAACCAAACTCTGCACTCCTATATAAAGTTTTAGAAAGTTTGTTTTTAACACAGCTTCTTATGATGCAGTTGTTGCTTCCTGTTAAATACTTCATTAGAACTGAACTACTGAATTTTCTCAAAGGTTGAAGTCAAAGATGCCTAAATATTTACATTTGAAGAGGAAAAATAAATTATATTTCTGAAACTCATTTAGCTTGACAGTGAAAATCTGTCACCACTAACAGTTAAAAGATAGCTTTCAAATGGGTTTTGTCGAAATTACCATTAACAATCACTATTTGCATTACAGCATTTACCACATCTTAGCAGACATCTTAGCAGAAGCCAGCTAAGCACCCCAGAACAGCTTTGCAGTTAATGTAAATTGGAATACTTCTACTGAAGACAATGCAGCTATGCAAGTTTACACCAGGTAATGCTGTGAATCATTATTAATCTGGGGTTAACTATAAAAATCTTATTCCCTTTGAAATGCTTTTATTATCAAGCTTCAGTCCAACTGTTTATATATGCTATTTGTTGCAAAGAAAAATTATATATATTTACATAATTATATATATATATATATGCATGCATAAACAGAACAAGGCCATCAAGTCCAACCCCCTGCTCAATGCAGGAATCTAACACCCTGCTCAATGCAGGGATTTTGCTATATATCAGCACAGTACAGAACATTTGCAAAAGGATTCAGAGAAATCACTGAATTATTGTTAAAGCAACAAGGCTTAAGTATGTGGAGGGAAAAAAAATAACAACTTCTAATATTTAAAGAGAAATTTAGCGACTCATCTATTTTGTTTCCTCCTGATCCCCCTCTCCTGGAATGTGTGCTACTAGAGATGGACATGAACCACCACTTTGGCGGTTCATGGTGGTTCGTTTAGTGGCCAAACAGGCGTTCAGTGCTTCAAAGGCCCACCTCCTCTGGTGGGCATCCACTAGGAGGCAGCAGGTTGCCCTGCCTCCTCCAGGCACTGCCTGTGAGTGGGCACCCACCAGAGGCAGGGCTCTGAAGCACCAAATACCTGTTTGGCTGCTAAACAAACAGGCACAATCCACCACACTGGTGGTTTGTGCCCATATCGATGTGCAACACAACATTTTCTTAAACCAATAAAACTAGCCTGCTGCCCTCAGATGTAGTGAAGGGTATCACCAGTGCTAAAGTAAAATACAACAACCAATCCAGTTGGCTTCTATAGATGGAATAAAGGGGGGAAGCTCAGGCAGCAAAATGTCTTGGACCATTCCTATTCCTTCTATTTTTCCACTGAGGGAGGGGTATCGTTTGCTCGCTCTTTGCCACTGGATAGCAAATCCCATTTCTCCCACTTAATTGCCCAAAAAGAACACATGCACAAGCAAGTAGAGGGCTCCAGAGAGAGACAAAAAGTAAACAACTACATAGACGGAAAAACTACCTCAATGGCCCTGTTTTTCCTGCCATGAGAAGGACAAGGCAAGTGATTCTGTGGAAGCAGAAAATGGCTACTCATCCACTGCTTCCTCTGTCCGGTCCCCCTCTCGCTCCCTGCATAGCATGTGTGCTGACTACCCAGGCAAATGTACAAACAGGAGAAGGGCAGCAACCAAATCTTCTCCCTCCCTCTGGCCACTACTACTGTAGCAGGGTGGTTGCATTTGGAGACGAGCAAGCAGCCATTTTGCTCACTCAGTCCTCCTCCTCTTTCTGAGTGGAGCAGCCATAAAAGGAACAGCCACATTAGCCTTTTGCCTTCTCCACAGCACAGAAATACAGTGGTGCCTCGCAAGATGAAAGTAATTCGTTCTGCAAGTAGCGCTGTCTTGCGAAAGTTTTGTCTTGTGAAAAGCGGTTTTCGATAGAAATGCATTGCAATATATTCCTATGGAAACCTCGCAAGACGAATTATTTTCATCTTGCGAGGCATCAGTCTTGCGGAAAAATTCGTCTTGCAAAGCACAGCCATAGAAGAAGCCATCTTGCAAGTCACCAACATGATCACAAAATGCTTTTTGTGTTGTGGGCTTTTCGTCCGCCAAGGCGTTCATCCTGCAAGGCACCACGGTACTGATTCCGAACCTCCCCTACTTTTTCAGTTCAGTGCTACCACTAATGGATTCTCAAGGCAGTTAATGCAGACACGTATTGTTGATCTCAGGAAATTTATCTTAGTGCACACAAACTGAACTTGAAAGAGTGTAGATTTCCTAGGGCTTCTTTGGGCTCAAAGAACAAGCTTCCTAAGTGTTTATACTGTAGGCTAGGGCCACACAATCTTTCCAAGCCTCAGGGTGGGTGGAGGTCTTGGAGAACTGCCCGTGTGCATGCACCCAGCACATAATACATGCACAGCCACAAGGGTACAGTGGAGGACCCCACTTTTACCCACTCTACGTTGCCTGGGGTGGGCAGAGAGGCTGCTTCAGGATCACTAAGAGACGGAGAGCATTTCCCCTCCTCCTGCTTCCAGTTGCAGCTCTGGGCATTGATGGTTGTGGCACCTTCATTGGCAACAATGTGGGCTAAACCACAGAAGCCTGTGCTGCAGGGTCAGAAGACCAAGCAGTCGTAAGATCGCATCCACGCGACGGAGTGAGCGCCCGTTGCTTGTCCAAACTCCTGCCAACCTAGCAGTTCGAAAGCATGAAAATGCGAGTAGATAAATAGGTACCACCACGGTGGGAAGGTAACAGTGTTCCATGTCTAGTCGCGCTAGCCATGTGACCACGGAAACTGTCTTTGGACAAACGCTGGCTCTACAGCTTGGAAACGGGGATGAACACCGCCCCCTAGAGTCAGATACGACTGGACAAATTGTCAAGGTGAACCTTTACCTTTAACTATCTTGAAGTTATGGCTCTTTCTTTAGCTGATCAAACAAATAGCACGCTTGATTTTGTTTGTATTTGGTTTCGCCCACAAAACATTTGCAGTCAATAGGATAGAAAATGTTTGTTTCTCCTCTCACAAAGCAAGTGTGGAAAAAGGGTAATGAGAGGCACTTCACTTCTGTTCTTTACAAGAAGAGACAGGGCAGTTAAAAATCATTTTCCAAATACATGATCAACCTCAGACAGTAAATAGGTATCTGCTAATCTTGGATTGATATCTGGTAAATCGACAAAATAAACTGTACGGAAGTAAGCGATTTAGGTGAAACCTCCTTTTCTGTTTGCAATATGACTTACGTCAATATTTTAATAGGATAAGAAGTGAGACTCTGTGAATTGTAGCAGAGTATTGCAGCCAATTAACAAGGTGCCAGTCACATGTCTTGCTGCTTTCCTGGCATGCAACTAAGAACATCACCAATGGCAATTTATCACAACTTAAGAGTTTGTCTAAACAGCTCATTTGGACAGGTGGGTGCACACTAAGGTGGGTTGCTTAAGGTGATTACATTGTGTGATCTCTGGAAAAAGGAGCCAACCTGACTATCTCTACTGCAGACCAAAAAGTGGGACAAATGCCAGCCTGATTGCACACTTAGATGACTTCACTTATTCTGGAGTAAAATCCCTGCTGGATAGCTCTGTAGTTTAAGTGTCTGGCTGCAGACCCAGAGGTTGGGAGTTTAATTTCCCACTGTGCCTCCTTGAAAACGTCTGGACTTGATGATCCGTAGTGTCTCCTCTAGCTTTGCAGTCTTAAGATTTACAGCAAGTCCCCAATATTCACTGGGGCTTGGTATTCCTCCCGAATGGCCACTGTATGGAGGATCTTCGCTGGATGGTGAGTTTTTAGCCCACTGGAACACATTAACTGGGTTTTAATGTGTTTCAATGGGTTTTTAAATTTCGCTTTACGACGTTTTTGCTCTACAGTGATTTTGCTGGAACGAACTGTCGTTAAGCGAGGCACCACTGTATTTGGGAGATAGCATATTTTTAAATGCATTACCAGAACTGGCCACGAGACGAAGCCAGGGATTATGCTATGTATTCTTCACTATCAAGTATTCAAAGCAGTGTCTAGGGTAGTGGCTAGTTCTTGTAATACATGTGAAAATAAGTGTTTTTATGCATTTTTCTTAGTATTTTTAATATTTTCAGGCCCGGGATAAGTGAAACTATGGATACTGATACTGTGGATATGGGAGTCCTCCTGTATTGAAACAGGTTTCAGTCCAGAGAATAAAGCTTTAGTAACTAAACTCTTGGGTTACCCAAATTCTCAGCTGTAGAGGAATCATGTCTTCATGACTGGTGGAGACCATTTTCTAAAAAGTCAATACTTAAATTTTTCTTTTCTTTTCTTTTTTCCCACCCATCACAATGCAGTGCGGTGTGTAGGGGATAGAGAGACGGACTAGGATTCTGGAGTCCAGGGTTCGAACCCCCTCCTCGTTCTGCCAGGAAAACTCCCTGGGGAAGTGGTAAATCCACTTCTTAAATACCGTACAGTACTTACCTTGAAAACCCTGTCAGGGTCGCTGTAAGTCGGTTTCACAACAACAACAAAGACAACGAAGGCGCTAACATAAAATGTTGAGAGAAGTTGAAGGTAACAGCGCTCCCCCCCCCACTTGTCTGGGCGGCGAGAAAAAACAAACGGAGTCCCTCAAGCCTCCTGTTTACCTCAGTTTTTCCCAGGCCATTTCTACAGGGGCTCCGATCACCCGCACGTTGCTCAGACATGGCGTTGACGAGGCCTAAGGCTTTGAGCCTCGTCCTCGGCGGGGATTTTCGTTGTGAAGCGGAGAAAGACCCCGGGCCTTTCCCGGCTCCCGGCGGAAGGCTCGCTCTGCAGAAAGCCGACAAGGGAGTCGAGGGGAAAATGCCCCCCAAATACCAACCGCAGCAACTCTGCAGCCTTTGTTTTCAAAAGTGTGACGCTTAATTTCCTTAATTTTTTACTGAATCCTGTTTAAATCCATGGGATTTGCTCGTAAGGAAGGAAGCACAGGACAGCAAACAGACTCCAGCTTTGTGTATCTTTGGCTCCCGGTTGTGCATTTCTCTTTTTGCACATTAAAATATCTCCTTTCTGAGCGTTTTAGACCTACAGTGGTGACATGTGTCCCTCCAGATGTTAACACTTTGCATTGGCAAACCCTGCCCGTGGTGAGGAAACGGGAGCTGCCGTCTAGGAACATCTGGAAAAATACTGTACACATATTTTCCCGCTTTTCAGTAAATAGATACAATTTGCAGCGCTGAAGATGTGAGGTGGGACTGAGGCAATACACTTTGGCCTGAAAAATGGCTGTAATGCTGTAAAATAGATCCGTAAGTGTGTCCCCAGTTATTTTCGTGAAATGTTGCAAAGCTGGATTGTAAACCACCTTGAACCTAAACCACCTAACACTGGAAAGTCTGGGTAGAAATGTTAATAATAATGTTTAGTGCCACTTTTTTTTTTTAAAAAAAGCAGAATTAGAGTTCTCAGGTAGCAAAAAGTACAGTAACCTGTTAGAAAATCGCCTTTTAAAATGCTCACCTAAAAAGGCGAAAACGTGCCACATTGAAGACTATTGTATTTTAATACAATATTGTATTTAAACATTAAAATGCAGTAGTTAATCTTCAAGGCGCCACCTGTTTTCGTCTTTTGTTTCTTTGGATTTTGACTGCTATATTTTTCAGAACTATGTAAAGCATAAATCTAAAAGAAAACGACATGTACGTGTGTTTTGCTTCATAGTAGTATCACATCATCTTGTAAGCAGCGACCCTCCGTGCGAGAAATAAAACCGTTAGGTGACCGACAGGCGGAAAACCAACTCGTACAGCTTTCTCTAAGGTGGAAACGAGGCGGGCGAACTACACCGGTTCGATTGTCTGCCTCTCACGCTGACAACTAAAGGAACCAGACAGACCACTAGTTGTTTTTTTCTTTTAAAGAATTTCCTTTAGAACGGGGGGGGAAGCAACCAGGCCGCTTTAATTTACAGCGTTTCGGTATCAGGGGTTTCCTAAAAGTTTCTTTCAGATCAGGAGGTGCCGCGACACCGCATGGGCAACGGCCTGCTTTTTTCGTTTTTCGGGCGGCAACGAAGACGCCGCGTCGGAGCGACTATTTCCAGTCAGGCACTGAGCAGGACAGCCCCGGCCGTGTGGGCGGGGCCAGGAGAGAGCAAGATGGCAGCCTCCTTGTGGCTGCCCAAGTGCTGCAGAGGAACAGCCCAGTTGCTAGGCAGGCATGTCGCGCGAGGGGCTCTGGGCTCTGCCCCGCATGTGGGGGGCTGGAAATTTCTCCACAGGACCCTGGAGCTGTTGGGTAAGCGCCCAGTTCGTTATAAGGGAAGGGTCCTTTGAATCATGGAGACTTGGTTTTGGGAGGCAGACATGACATTCAAGGAGAAACAGAAGGTGGTCCTGGGTTTCTGAGGGACGGAGGGAGCGCAGATGCAAATAGGATCGGACTTTAATGGCAGGGACACAAGGCTGAATATTGAGGGAGAGGCAGCGGTGTTAATCTGTAGTCTGTTGCAGTAAAATATAAGAAGCCTTGTGTCCCCTTGAAGGCTGCCACATGTTATTTAGCATAAGCGATGGTGGGTTGCATCTCCTTCCTTAAGATTTGGGGACTGAAGTCCCAGAAGACAGACATTTCAATAAATGGATTTGAAGCTTTATACATG